ATAGCGAAAAAAGAAAAGTTGCGATAAGAAGTAATAATTTGTCAGAAATGGGGACTGTTATTTTAGCAGTAATTACAAATATCATGAACATATAAAACAGCAGAGTGCGCAGTGTAGTGTGTATAGAAAAAAAGAACTGTCACAGTTACTTTTCAGTAATTACTAAATACGTCATAAGTATTTTTTTTTAATTTTCTGGGTAAATTTATTCTTTTAATTTATTTTGTGTAATAATAACACCTTCTTAAAAATGTAATAGTAAACTTCAGTAACTTCAGTACCTTGGACACGTCATGAGAGGAGAAAAGTACCACCTACTCCAACTGATATTACAAGGAAAAATTCAAGGAAAGAGAAGTGTAGGAAGAAGGCGCCACTCATGGATGAGAAACTTACGTGACTGATTCGGGTGCACCACAAACCAACTTTTTCGGTCGGCTGTGTCACGAATACGTATAGCACTGATGATTGCCAACCTTCGCAACGAAGAAGGCATTTGAAGAAGAAGAAGAAAAATGTAATCTATCTCTGCAATTTCTGCTAAACTCCTCAGGTGCTGTGATTTTCTGATTTATTTTTAAGCATATACTTTCTTGACTATGCGGCAACACAGGCACCGATCCGGGTTAATCGGATGGTGTTGGAGATATCTGCCGGCGCGGCGGTTCTCAAAATGTTCCAAAATATTTTTAAATTTTCTTAGTTAAATAAGTCGATTATTTTCAATTTATTTTAAAAACGGTAAAGAGAAAATATGTGTCTTTTGACCAGTTCTAGCACCTCTTAAAATATCTGCAATTATTTTTGGGACACCGTATAAGCAAAATAATCTAGCCAATCACATCTTGGAACGTCAGTTTAAAGTTAAATCTTTATATTGGTAAATACAGTTCTTGATTTACAAAAATAATAAACATTTCAGCATTGCAGGAAAGAATTTCATATAAAATAGTTTGCCAAAGTACTTTTTAGTTTTATTTGTATGAAATTGTAAACAAGAAGTTTTCAAATCAAATGTTCATAATTCGACAGATTTCTTGTATAGAAATAGAAAATATGCAGTTTATTTCAAAGAACAACATAAACATAAACACCAATACACATGTTTCTGTTTACGGCATTTAGAGTTTTGCTGTCAAATTAAGTTACATGTTGTACACTGCATTGAGGCTGGTATTTCTATGTACCTATACCTATATGCCTGCTTTAAAACAAGGAGCTTATTGTCTGCTCCCAAACATCAACTCGAACATAACCTAGAACTTTAGTTTGAAAGCCACGGCTTATATAATAACCTGGATACAATATCCCTTATGCTGGAGACAAAGCAAACAAATTAAAACTTGAAACAAGAGCTGTAATAATTTTACCAATAAAACTGGTAATCATATTTTGTTAGTACCTATAATTTTCTTAGTTTAAGAAGTTGTTTATTTTGAGATCTATGCGGTTTTTGATTGGGCATTTCATATATTGTCGATTTTTTTTCGATATACTTTAGACATATACATTCGTTGATCTTTTTGTAGTATTATAAACATAAATTAATAATGTATATGAATAATATTTAGATTTAAAAACAATCTGTAACCTAAATCTGAAATAAACTTAAAATAATAGCTTTTAATTACTTTTATATTGGTGGAATTCAAAGAATAATTAAGTTTATTTTAATTTCACTAAATTATTGTTTGAAATTACTTGATTGTGTCATAGACCTTGTTATTTTTAAAATATTTTATCTAATTTATTTATATTATTTTTTGCTTTAATTTAATATATTTTCACTACTATTATTTCTTTACACTTTAATAATTACGTTCTATAAAATATTGGAAATGAAAAAGCTACATCATTCAATATAATCTTAATACCTATAACTTTAAATTTATCCTTGTATTTTGGTTTATGTTATATATTGTATCATGGTAACATTTACAATTATGTACTAGTTATATTAAGTATTAATGTTTAATATATTTTATGTACAAAGTCTTTATACGAAAAGTGAGCATTTTGATGAAAATTCAATAATATAATTCATATAAACGAAGTAGTAATTTAATATAATACCGTACTGTGTATTTTTTATTATTAACAAAACAAAAAGGACAATAAAAGACAACTACGAGGCATGTTTTTTAAGTAAGTACAATTTAATTAAAAAAAACGTGCAAAGATATCGCAATAATTTTATTTTTACATGAAAGCCTGTACCTTAATCTACTTTTCTACATAATTTCCGTGAATATTGAGGCACTTGTCATAACGTGGCACCAGTTTTTCAATACCCTCCTCATAAAATTCTGCCGCCTGACTGGTTAACCACTGTATCACAACTGTTTTGACTTCGTTATCGTCTTGAAGACGCTGACCGCCCAGGTGTTTCTTCAAGTGCAGGGATAAATGGTAGTCACTGGGCGCCAGATCAGGGCTGTATGGAGGATGATCTAGAGTTTCCCATTTAAAAGATTTGATGAGATCTTTGGTCCGATTAGCCACATGTGGACGGGCATTGTCATGCAGCAAAACAATACCCTTACTCAACTTGCCACGTCTTTTGTTTTGGATTGCACGGCGCAGATTGTTCAATGTCTCACAATAAGATGCTGCATTGATTGTCTAATTACGAGGCAGAAACTCCACTAGCAATACTCCTTTCCTGTCCCAAAAAACTGTGCACATGATTTTCCGGGCAGAAATTGTTTGCTTAAACTTCACTGTTTTGGGTGATGATGAATGTCGCCATTCCATGGACTGTTGTTTCGATTCTGGTGTGACGTAGGCCACCCATGTTTCGTCACCAGTAACAATTTTGTCTAAAAATCTTCACCTTCATTGTGGTACTGCTCAAGGAAAGTCAATGCACTGCCTAAACGTTGGGTTTTGTGCAAATCCGTCAACATTTTCGGAACCCAACGTGAACACAATTTCCGGTAATTCAAGTTCTCGGTCACAATGCGATACAAAACACTACGAAAACATTGAGGAAAGTAGTCGCACACTGATGAAATTGTAAAGCGTCTGTTTTCTTTCACCTTTTCGTCCACTTTCTGCACCAAATCTTCATTAACGACCGAAGGACGCCCACTCCGTTCTTCATCATGCACATTTGTGCGGCCATCTTTAAATGCTCTCACCCATTTCCTTACCATTCCATCACTCATAATGTTTTGTCCGTAAACTTCACAGATCTCACGATGAATATCGATCGGTTTTACGCCTTTAGCACTAAGAAATCGTATGACAGCCCGTACTTCACAATCGGCGGGGCTCACGATTGTCGGAGGCATCTTAAACACTCAATAAACAACGTATACAATGAAGAATCAGACTGTACTGGCGTCTGGCGTCTGTGCATAGACAAGAGATGTAGGTAACCAGCGCGCATGCGCGGAACGCCGACCGTAGCGCTGCGGCGGCGGAATCGCAAAACGGTACTTACTTAAAAAACATGCCTCGTATAAATAAACTGATTAAATGACATTATATAAATCTAAAGCATTTTAAATAATATTAATTAACGTCAGGATAATGAAGTTAAAAATGAAATAAAAATATAAGACAAATGTTTTAAAATGTATGAGTAGCTATGTTAGATGACTGACATCAGCTAGCATATAGTTTTAAGTACTGCACTAAGCTAAAAGCTAAAAACGTAAGAATATGAAATATTATCAAATATACCGGGTGCGTCTCATAAGTGGCTCACTCCTATAACTTTTTATTGTTTCTGATAAAAAAACGGGATTTGGTATGTTAGTGTACCTATGACATACATTAGGATTGATTGACGTGTTCAATTGTTTTCGGTCACTTCATGTTTTACTGGAAATAATAACTCTTGATTTTTAAATGGAACCATCTGTATTTTTTTACTTTATTCGATAGAAAATGACACTCTAATACGAATTTGACTCTAAAATGACATAGTACATGTCAACTTTTGACAGATTCAATTAAAAAATAGCATTTTAAATTTCAATTTACAGTGTCATGGTCATAAATGTAACTACAACTTATGTGTTATTTTTTGTGTGGTATCAAATTATTCGTAAGAAATTCTTTTTCCCAATATGCTAATAATTAAGCCACCATTCCATTTGAAAAAAATTGAGATATGATTAAAAATACGATTTAGACATCGTTTAACCGACCAGGACAAGACATGAAAAACATCAAAACAACCAAATCTACTTTTCCAAGACGAAGAAAAAATAAAAAAGTTATAGGGATGAGCCACTTTTGAGACTCACCCAGTATATGGTGTAACTAACCCAATTTTGTTCTATTTATTTATATTTCTGAATGTAGCATTTATTTATATTCTTGTTTAAGTTAAACGATCCTTAAATTTGACCATTCCAAATTTAAGAACGCTTCACAAATTACTAATAATAAGATTGTTATTAATTTTGTCAGATTAAGTTTAATTATTTTGGCTTAGTGCAGTTATGGACTAATTTCATGTTCATTTTAATTAGGTAGTGAAAATCCAGTCTTGTAGCACGAATTTTATATACAGTGTTGTCCATAAAACTAAAATAATATGTTAAATCCAATCCAAAAATTAAAATATTATAATCAATTTTTGGTTATGCCTTTATCATATATTTAAAAGTAATGACTTTTTGAGTTTGATATAACGTTTTTTTATAGTCTGTCCAAGAAGAGGATCCATCACAGTGACAGCTGTGTCAGTCACTTTAATCTACAAGTAAATAATATTTCTTTTCATTTTTTCGATGTCATCTGTCGAAATCTTGCCTGCCTCGTTAGACAGACTTTTATCGGACAATTTGGATTAAGGTTTCATCTATGTATGAACAAACAACAATAAAAATGAGCAAATTTTGTGGACAACATTATTTACTATTACGTTAGATAATACTGATGGAATATTCATCTATTATGTTTCGTTTGAACGTATAGTATATTGGCATGTATTATTGGCTTAAAAATCACCCTTATAGCTACGTGTCGTGTAGAATGCTGCTCACCCGTTCCTCTACCGCCACCTTTCGGGATTTCCAGACGAATTCGCAGACGGCTATGACGCATGCCACGCCCATACCGCCCATGAGCACGACGAAGACGCCGCCAACGTTAGCGAGGCCTAGCTCGTTGGCGGTACTGCTCGTTTTTGTGGTCTCATCCTGCGATAAGATATTAATAAAAATCAAATTTCTAATTTTTGCACCCTTAAAAATTATATTTTTATTATAATATAATTTATGCTAAATTTTGATTGATTTTATTTGGTATGGTAAAAAATCTACTTATTTATTGTTATTATTGTTTTATATATTTTATTTTAACATAAGCTATTGTACTTACTCTACAAGCTCCTCCACCTCGTTTTTCTTTCCACCATCTTGTTTTTAATATGTGAAGTCTCCCTTCTTCTTGTAGTTTTAATATAGCGCCACTTATTGCAGTTCGAAATGGGGAGTCTGAAAAGAATAATAATATATGAAATGGTGCCATAGTATAGTACTATATTATGGTACCACTTTATATGCCTCACTGTACCATAATATTGCATTGTGCCCGAAGATATGAAAGTATACCAGACTTGAGCCAAATCAGACGTAGGAAATGGTATTATAATACGAATAGCGTGCCATTTTATATACCTCATAAAATCATAATAATGCGTTGTCACCGAAAACTATAATCTTAGCATGCAATGGCTTGATTGTCTATCTTTCTCCATTTGTTTCTGTCTTTTTCCTTTATTCTCCACCCATCCACTCTTATCCTTCTCAAGTGCTCTTTAAAAAATGCCAAAGAGCCTAGAGAAGCTCAACTTAGGCTCACCAAGGGATAGAAGGCAATGAAAAAGCAAATGATCTAGCTAGAACAGGAGCGAACACTCCACTAACTGGACCAGAATCGTTCTGTTTTCCAAACGGGAACCAACTGAAAGCGGAACTGAAGAATCTGAAAGACTCCATCCGTAAATTGAAATGGGTGTCCTTCAACGGTCTAAGCCCACAGCCACACAGAAAGCGTTTTAGCGTTTTGCGTTTTTTTGCGTCTCAAGCGTTTTTTGCGATTTTACCGTTTGAAGCGTTTTTTGCGATTTGTGTCCATTAAAAACACGCAAAAGACGCGGCAGGTCTGTAGTTTCTATCAAGATGTCAATTAGTAACATCGCAAGCGCGTCGATCCCCGGCCCGTCCAACAGTCAATCCTGTGAGAAAGAGATAGCCGAGATCGGCGCCGGTTAGCGTTGAGGAGACAAAGAAAAAAGATATGCTCGCACTGGGATCGACTGTTGAACGGGCCGGAGCGCAGATTCGTATTCGTGCCAGTGGCGTGTGTACAAATAATTATTTGCCATTTCTTTTACGATTTGTAATGTATAGATTTTTTATGTCGTAGTTTTGTGATTACTTGTGTCTTTAATTATAATATAATAATATGATATAATAAATAATTATAATTTTATAATACGCTAGTAAATATTACTAGTTGCTAACGCAATTTTAAGACATGATTTATCAAACTTTTTTGAAGTGACACATCTTTATGCGCCCTGGGAGTAAAATTTCAGAGCCGTGACACACGAGCTAGTGCTAACGAAAAGTGGTAACGGCTTAGAAATACGTAGTGACGCGACGTATATTTGTGAGTAGTCCACGTGCTTATCAAAAATATTGATATTTTAATACAAATTTTGTAAAAGTAAATCAAATTATTACGTGTTAAAACTATTTGTTACACGTAAAAAACTATTAACATTATCAAAAAATTAATTTTTTTACACGTAAAAAACGATTTTTATTATTTTTTTATTTTACGTGTATAAAACTATTTGTTGCACGTAAAAAACTATTTTTTAAGTGTAAAAAACTATTTGTTACTGGTAGAAAACCATTTTTGCACAAAGAACTATTTTTTACATGTAAAACTATTTGTTACACGTAAAAAAACTATTTTTTACTCGTAAAATACTACTCACTACCTGTAAAAAAATATTTTTACAAAAAAAAAAATTTTTTTACATAAAAATCTATTTTTTGCACCAAGAAACCTATTTTTTACACGTATAAAACTATTTGTTACCCGTAAAAAAATATTTGTTACGCGTAAAAAAACATTTTATACATAAAAAACAATTTTTTACGCGTAAAAAATATATCTATACTTTATTACTTTTTCAACATTTCAAACTACACTTTTTCAAACATTTCCTTCAAATTTTTGAATTTAATAGAATCTTCCTAAACAGTATATGTTCTCTACAAAAAATATTTTTAGATAATACTCGAAAAAAATGCATACTATTTAATTTATTTTTTATTGTATTATTAAATATTACGTCCGCCTATGACAGGGTCTAATAGAAAACGCTAAAAACGCTACAGAAAACAAATTGATTTGTTTTCATTTGCGTTTTTTGCGAGACACGCCGAACGCTAGACGCTTTTGGTGGGGCCACTCCTATTTATAATCCTGTTATTTTGTTTTAGACGCAAAAGACGCTTCACACTAAAAACGCAAAAAACGCTTTCTGTGTGGCCGTGCACTAAGACACTCGAAAAAGTTCCTCAGTACTTAGGACCGAGAAAAATTAAAGATTTTCCTTGATTTAAGTAAAAACAGTCTTCGAATTGTCACGGGGTTTCTAACAGGACACTGTCTCCTCAACGAACACCTCAGTAGGCTGAAGCTGAGAAACAAGGGCGAATGCAGATTCTGTGGGAAAAATGGGGAAACACTAGATGTCGAGGACGGAGAGCTGGCCTCTGTGGAGCCATCTCAGACACTGGCTTTTGTTAAAGCCCTAAGACTGTATGATGAGTTATAACTCGTTATAACTCAAGAAAGGGGAACACACAATAGATCTGTAAGATCGCGGTGATTAACTCCCCTAATAAACATTCTACATTCAACATTCACCATCGCAAACTGGAGCCCACTCAAACGACAGGAAGTGCTATAATATGGTACCATTTTTTATTTGCCTCATGGAATCATAATATTGCATTGTCTCCGAAGATACGCTTCAGGTAGAGGAAAGTCACCTAATATGGGGATAGTGCCTAATATGGGGTAGGTCGTTTTTGCGGAAGTACTGAGTGCAAAATCTATTGTATGCATTGTTTTTGGTTTGGTTTGGTTCTAACCGCCGACATGCCAGGAGGTGACCATTCTTTTTTTGGCCCAAATTTGTGCTCTGTTTTGACGTTTGAGGTTATAACAGTTTTGTGTAGTAAGCAAAGTTTTTTGGTCGTGCTGTATTTTAGGTGTTTAAGGAGACTTAAAGGTTAGTTTTTAAAGTTTTGATAATATTATCCTTTACAAAATTTAGCCTAGTTTATGAAAATACTTAGGTTTTCTAAAATACAAACACACTTTTTGCAAAAAGCCGCCCCTCCCAAAATTCTAGTTTATTCCTAATATGGGATACCTGCCAATTCCTAATTTGGGGTATCCCATATTAGGAGATTATTTCCTATTTTGTGTAATACCAAAATATTTTCTTTCAGATGCCTAAAACACGGAAAGCGTGGAATAAGGAAGAAATGATTTCCGCAATTTTAGCTGTTCATATATTTTTGTTAGATGTAGTTTTTTTAACAGATGTATTTTATGTTACTCCTAGATAAGTAAGTTTTTTGTGACTCATTATAAGAAAAAATACCTTTTTGTTAGGAGGTGTAGTTTTTATATGTCGGTTTTATAAATAAATCGTTTTAATCCAAAACAACCCAAAATAATTCAAGTTTTTTTGAAATTTAATATTGAAAATGGTACCCCATATTACGAACCTAGTGTACCCCATATTAGGATACCCTATTCCCCTAATATGGGGTAGGGAATCTTTTGTTAATGCATATTTCTTTTCTCTATTTCCTTTTAACCTGTTTCTTCTTACTAAATGCTTAAAATGTGTCCAAAAAAACGTAAAATTCAGAAATAATATCCAAAAGTTATTACGTCTTTTATATATAGTGTTTTCAAAAAATTACCCCATATTAGGCGACTTTCCTCTATATCAAAATTCAGCCCAATCGAGCTTAAGGAAATGATTGATTTGAACATTGTATGGTGCCATTCAATTATGGTACCAATTTACCATTTTACCATAACCGAGATCATAACATTGGATTGTCCCTAAAGTTACGCAAGTATATGTAAAATATAAACTTCAGGAAGTGGTATTATAATGTGGTACCATATTATGGCACCACTTTATATTCTTCATAGTACCATAATATCACATTGTCACCGAAGATACGCAAGTATACGAAATTTCATCCCAATTGAAAATCAGGAAGTAGTTCTAATTCATCTCGCAAGTTTTGACTTTGTTAATATAAAAGCTTGTAATAAGATAAATCAAGATCAATATCTTTTAGAAACAAACTTTTAAAAATTACTGTTGATACATTTAGAAACTATTATTTTACTATTTTACTATAACAATAATACATTTCTTATTTGTACAAAGTAAATAAAATTCAAAAATAAAAGATATATCCATTAAACGTCAGCGTCACTAACGCTGACATGACGTTCCGTCACGCCGATGTCAAACTGAACGCCCAGACGTTAAAAACAAGTTAAAAAGTTTCGAAAATGTCGAGCAAACTAACTTTATTCCGACCGTTTCGCAGTTTGCAATATCGAATTCTCTCCAGTATTTTATCGCGGAATGACATGATATTTCGACTGGGGCACACCGACATAAAAGTGCCTGATTTCACGAAGCACATGCGGCACAGTGTCGCCGATCCAAAATCTGACTCCGCTGAGTCTATCGATGGAAGAAGATTGATGACTTATATGCTGACCGGGATGCTTTGGACGGGGTTAATGTACGGTACCAAAGCTGAAATCATAAGGTAAGTGTTGGGGAGTGGATATACAGGTGGGTGCACCTCATTCGCGTCGGTTAATTATATGAAAACGGAAAGATGTACAAACAAAATATTTTATGGGTATATGTAGAGAGGCAATGCATGGTACAAAGAATACAAGGTATGATCGGTAGCGGCGCCAATTTCGTTCAGTTCGCGCATACCACCTGTGACGTCACTAGGAAAATAATGAATAAATAAAAAATAAAGAAAGTTGACAGGAGATCTGCATTTTTTGGGGTTATGGTTAAGAATTGTTTATTTTTAAGACTTTTTAGTTCGTTTAATTTAATAATTACTAAAACCAGCAGTGCCAAAAATATATTTAAAAATAATAATTATCTATTAACATGGATTTGGACGATAGGTAAGAAAACTAAATTTATTTCTATATTCGGTATAAAATTGTTTATTAGGTTTTTAGTTTGCGATGTTTATGGTAAATAATTTTCATTTTCATTGTCTCTGAATTCACATGAGGACAGAGTTTAGGATATCTATGGAAAAGTAACCACAAGAGGAATTGTTACATCACTTAAAAAATGTTGGGAAGTTTATTGTTTCCCATCGAAAAGTAGAAAATGCCAATGCAGATGAACGTATTGTAATTGTGATAGAAGTAATTCTAAGGGTGAAATTTTTTTTATAATTAGTGGAGGTAATACCAAGAGTAAAGTTTATTATAATTAGTGACCTGTGCTTCTTTTTATATGTAGATGTTTCTGGTTTTGAAAATAAATCGGTTGAACGACACCCAAAATTTAAAGGAAGTATTTGCATACCCAGAATATGCCCATCAAGGATTATATAGCTCAAATTTCCTTTAATGGTAGGCAATTATTCAATGCAAATTAACTTTTTAAGTGACTGAAGTATTAAATAGTTTACAATATGGTGTATCACTAAAAATATATTACTTTTAGGTACAATTAGGGACCGATACATTTCAAAAAGTAGAATATTATTTTATATTAAATGAGGTATTGTACTAACAATCAATTTATATTAATAACGGAGATTAAAAAATAACAGAATAAATAGTTCTTTTTTTTATACTACAAAAATAAACTATAGAATACAACAGTATTTAAAAAAATAAATAAAAAGTTATGTCCCAGCCGAGATTCGAACTCCGGTCTATCGCTTCCTAGCCCGACTCCTTACGCACTGCTCCACAGTAACTTGCTTAGCGATAATTCAATGACGCTATATAAACAAAAAAACAGGTTTATAACAATATCTTGACGATTTGAACTGGCGCGCGGAGCGTGCTGACCAATAGCGCCTGTTATCACCTGTGACGTAGCGACCAACCTGCGCAATATCATACCTTGTATTCTTTGTACCATGGAGGCAATGTGCATAATTTAAAATGATTTTCAAATGTACAGGGTGTGTCAGAACTAAGATCCATACCAAAGTTATATTTTTTCTTATGGAACACCCGATATTTTATTTCTTTTTTGGATACTTGGGCATAAAATAACGCATTTATTATAAGGGTATAATATGTTTAAATACTTTGGGATTTGAGATATTTAAAGATATGTAAGCATGCTATAATGAAAAAGTTTGTCACCACCCTGTACATTACTTTTCAGAGTTAATTCTTGTGCTGAGTTTGAAGCCAGAGAAATAAACTTTACTAAATTTTTTTTTGCTTTCTTACATGTATACAGGGGTATCAAAAATTGCTGGTCTATTTTAAATATTTATTTTACATAAAAACTTCGTTATTTCAAATGCAACACTATGTATTTTTTAAGATAGGTCGAAGCAGATTTAAATGCTCTTTAAAACTATATTAGGGTTTCCTATATCTATCTGGCTCAGATTTTGAATAAAAACCGATTTTTCAATAAAATGGCAATCTAGATGGCTGGTGTCGCCATGGCAATTTGCTAGGGGCCTAATTCGCAACAACGTACCCCATGGCAGAAGACCTACTGGACGACCACCTAAACGTTGGCAAGGCAGTTGGCAGTCAACCTCGCAAGAGTTACTTAGACGAGGAGGAAACCGAAACTAAACAGGCGATACGCCTTCTAAAGGAGGAAGAAGATGAAGAAGACATATTTATTATAGATTAATACAATTTTTAGTAACGTGTTTCTTCATTTTTTTTTTAAATTACTTATACGCGCATTCGAAATTTCAGCTAAATCGGAAAAAAAGTTTATAATAATATAGTGTCTAATGTTGTATAGATAATGAATGGTACGGAATCCTTCGTGCGCGAGTCCGACTCGCACTTGATCAATTTTTTTATACACTTAGCGTTACATAAAAAAATAAACATTTCGACAACGTGTCTAAATTATTGTCCAATATCTAGTTTCAAAAATCCCGAGATATCAACGAGTTTTCGGTTAAATATTTTTTTGTTTTAGATATGTGGAATTCATGGCTCCATCGGCTGAGGTTTTGGCCCTAGCCAGAATCGAAATAGATCTCAGTCAAATCGCAGAGGATAAACATATGACGTACAAATGGCGCGGGAAGCCCCTCTTCGTCTGGCATCGTACGGAAGAGTCCATAAAGCAGGCAAGTTTCTTTGTTAAATTTTTGTTAATATCAAAAGTCTAGTTGCGAAAGAGAGTATAGAGAAATAACGTAGAAATTCGATAGTAAATGACACTCTGAATAGAATGACATATCATATTATGTCAACTTTTGACATTTTCGCTTAAAAATAATCGTATTTTAAATTTCAATCTAGAGTATAATTATTAAATTTCAAGCTAAAAACACTAATAATTTTTAAAAGCCCCTGCCTTGGAAAAATAGACTTGATCGTCTAATGTTTTTCGTGTCTTCTGGCCAGTGTAACTCTAAACCTATGCATTTCCATGCCCATGTTTATAGGAACTTTCTTTCATATTTTTTGATGAGGAAGCAATGAGTACTGTAGCGTTTTTTTTATAAACATTACCACTGCGAACGGCAGCTTTTCATCGGAGAGCAGTCATGGATAAGGTATTTCACTAGAGAGAAAACTAATCAATAACAATAAAAAAAAAATATAGATATTGGGCGCCAGGCATGTACAGAGAAAGAAAACACAGTTGTATATTACTTAAACTAATGACTATATTTATTCATGATGGACTGTGATGGTAAATAGCATTGTACAATTTTAATAATTATTATAGTGGTTATATGTCAACGAAAGTGGTGTTAAGAATTGTACTAAATATCTATGAAAACAACTATGATAAAATGCAAGACATGTAAAGTTTAAGAGAATATATGAAATGTAGCATTACTTTAATTAATTTGATATATTTTATATGATGTTAGTGCAATAATAATATCTATAAAAAAGTAATACTATTACAAGGCGTAATGTAATGAAACCTAAAATCTAAATCATATTGTAACTACTAAATCGACATAAATGTTCTTAATAATCTAACCACTAAATATAGTCTGTACGATATTATATATATCTGGTTTAACCTTTAACCCTTAAAATGTACGTTATTAAGACTGAAAATCGACTGAAAACCAGAACCTAAATCTACACTTAGCTGTTCTTGAGGCAATCCTGTTTCAAAGAGTAGCAGCTTGAGGTGGGCTCATATCTCTGTACTGTCTGTCGGCGATCCTGTTGGCCAAAACAACAAAAGGGGCCAGAATGAGGACACCATGAATCAATACAGCCGTAGCTACTGACTAGGCTTAGAAATGGGAGCGAAGCAGCATGGGGCTTACGCTGTATCCATACTGTGGCAATACATACATTACCCGTACCTTGGAACACTGCTAGGACCTTGGATAATGTCCGTAACCTGGACCATAACCTTGGACCATAACCTTGGACACAGTCCGTCCATAAGAAAACGGTACAGGGGAACACTACCCGTACCTTGGATACTACTAGGACCTTGGATAATGCCTGTTCCTTGTAAATAGTCCGTCCATAAGACCCTAAAAATACGAAACTCTTGTTTAAAAAACCAAACAAGGTCTAATAAACAAAATAAACCTACCTCGAATTACTTCCGAGGGCTCAATAATAAACAAAGAAACTGTCCTTTCTTCCATGTAACATTCTGGAGGACAAAAGAAAAGGGACACCAACGTGCCAGCAAAATACAAATACAAGTTAAGTTGGGACATCCAAAACTACCCTAAAAATATGCAGTAATAATATCGAATCTAAAAGGATAATATCTCATCTTTACCTGTTGGTTCGAAATAGCAGCTGATTCAAATTATACAGCAAGATTTAAATAATCACCATTTCTAAAAGCCGGGATACAACAGAGCGGCAAAACAAAGTGAGGTTAAGCACGGAGAGAGTCTTTGAATAAGAAGACTAAGGAAGGAGCATAATTCTATCCATGTATTCATGCATGGTGGGCGGAAAAGGCACCATAAAAGCTCTCTAGGGTGGGGATTCTTGACAGTTCTGTTTGACGATTCATTTGACACATTTGAATTTGATTTGAAATTTTGTGGATTTGTCAGTCTTTATGGAGCTTATTTTATGTTATTTATTATTTATTCTACTACTGATAGTTGTATAAAGGTAGTAAATCTAGATGGAAATTGTGGCAGAACTTAAATTAACAGTGACACTATCGCGATTTATCGAAAAAGACTCTAAAATAGTTGGTTGTGTAGCGTGCGGTAGATCTCGGCAAAAATTGAGTGAAATAATGGAACAACTTTTCGCTAGTAAGTGACTATATAATATACATACGTGTAGTAAACCGATCATTTATGAAATTCACTTAAATTAACTAAATTATATATTTTTCTTGCATTTTAGCTTTTATTTATTACTTGTCAAAGATTAGATGTCAAAGAATTTAGATACGTTAATTTGACTTACCTGCTTCAGTAGCGTATCGGATGTTTGTGTTAATAAATACTTATTATAACTTATCTATTTTTATTAGTATTATATATTTTTATAACAATTTTAATAACTACCAACATTTATTCACAACGTAAAATAAAACAACAAATTATTGAGTCTACCCCACGTCTACCCAACATCATAGTTTGACATTTTTTAAATAAAATTAGAACGACACTGATAAACCGGAATTTAAGTCGGCCATATTTGAGGCCCATCGCGGTGTACCTAAGATTTTTGATATGCTCCTTCCTTAGTCTTCTTATTCAAAGGAGAGAGTTGACAGAAGCGATGTTGACAGCGCCTCCTCAGAGCGATAACAGGGTTGTGTCAATCGATAACAGGGTTGGCGACTAGGGAACGTAAAAATTACGCCAAGCGTGCCAAATAAATTATCAGGCCTGAACGATACGGAATCCGATGACGATACGCCAGACATCATATATATCATATATAAAAAAGACATGTAACGAACTAAAAACGTTACAGTACTTATTTTAACCTTTCGCAAGTTATTGATATTAAATTTTTTAAAGGATGCTATTAGACTTGGATCAAGGCAAATTAATAAAATTGCATTTATCTGATCAATGTTAAATATTCAATTTCATTTTCAAATATAACAGGTGAGGAGTATTCCATTATCAATCCTTAGAGACCCTCAGGAAGATGCTGCAAGAGTTAAAGATCCTAAGTGGTTGGTCGTTATAGGTGTTTGTACACATTTAGGTAAAATTTATAGTTTTAATACCATTATTCTATACAACGATAAAATCTCTGACGGTAAAAGTTGTATCTGTCACTTTAGTTCACGAGCAAATTGTATATTTTGTCATTTTTTTGATACCATCTGTCAACATCTTCTCTGGCTTGTTGGAGATACTATAGTAATTATAAATGTTAACTTTAACGAGGATTAACCTGTTTTTGAACGAATTCTGATCGATATTCTGATCCATGTCGAAGATGTATTAAACGAATATCTATTTATAGGTTGTGTACCCATATCGCATCAAGGAGACTTTGGTGGTTATTACTGCCCATGCCATGGTTCCCATTTTGATATTTCCGGTAGAGCTCGCAAGGGTCCAGCACCAACAAACTTGGAGGTACCAGAGTACACCATCGTAGGAGATACTCTGACTGTTGGTTAAATAAATTCACTACTTAAAAAATGCAACCATTCCGAATTCCGACATTATCTATTACTTATTTTCAATACTTAATAAAACTTAAGCTATTAAAATATTGCGAATTTTGATAGTACTTATTTTCAAAGCTTAATAAAGATATAATGTATTAACAAACCTACATACATTGGCACAATGTGAGTTCATTTTAAGTAAATAACCTCAAATGAGGGAAACGAGTATCTTATTCCTTCATTGGAGTTTATCTCGAAATAATTTATTTTTAATTTCAAAATTGGTACAACCGATTAAATATTATGTTATTTATTGTGTAGTTTTTATATTTCTCATGTATTATAAACTGGAAAAAATGACAAATATGAAAATGAGCGCCCTCTATTAGATATATAAATATAGCCAACGTTTAACCATAGATAAATGCAACAAGTTTAGATTGGAAAGCCCGTAAAAATTTTAGGTCGCGAAATTATTTTGGGTCGCGACCGTTATACGCGATCTGGCGCTGCTATAGCGGTCGCTAAGAACAACGGCAAACAGAAACAGAAATAATTTTCTCTTGTCAAAATCAGAATCTTCAAAAATCGTAATAATCTTTCAAAATCTAAACCGCTCTCATTAAAGAAATTCCGAAAAGTGTTTATATAGCGTCCATTTTCAAAGTAATTATTGCTATCTTGTGAGTTTAATTCAAGTTTTATTTACTCCAAACCGGTGATAATTGTGATAAAGTGGCATTAAAAACTTAAAAAGCTGTGCTGTGAAGTGTGAACTGCAAAAACCATCGTGGATCGTGGCATAACGTCGGTTTCCAATGTTTCATAGGTATTTCATACATGCGTCCTTATATAAAATAAAGTTTCTTGTATGCAACACACTGTATTTTATTTATAAAATTAAACGAAAATAATAATAAATTTGAATAAACAATATTTGGCGATATAATTCCGGAAAAAGCCGAACCGCTCCGAAATTTTCAAAAGTTTTGCAAGAATAGCGCCAAATAGTGTTTACATTGTCCTTATGGGCACTTTCCAATCTAAACTTGTTTCATTTATCTATGCGTTTATCCTACATTTAAACAGACCAGCTGATCTGTTTAGTTGATGAACAGGAGATGATTTAGGTTGTCCAATTGATTTGAGTTTTTACACTAAACCGTAAGCCTCTGACAAAACTAAAAAAAATAGACAAATGTAAGGTAAGCCTCAAAAATACTTATATTCAAATAGAATATCAATTATTTTGTTGGTTATTCACAAAAACAAGAGTGTGAGAGATGTCAAAAATAATCCCAAATAATTCAGATGGCATATGAATGTATTTTGTGCCAAATACACGTGGGTATTTTGAAGTGCTGTTAAGAATTGAAGTGAAACGAAGTGTTATTCAGAGTAGAGTTGTGGTTTCAGGTAAAGTGATAAAACGACGCTCTAACCTAATTACATCGATCTGCTATGCCCTATCGAAGTCTCGTTTTATAATGTTAGGTAAGTTTTTTATTTTAATCTGAATTTTCCAAGTCGTTGTTAAATCTTTCTAGTCGATATGTGGCGTCGAACAAGCTGAGATTCAGGTAATTGCTTGGTATGGTTTGGTTGTGATGCGGCTATGGTCGATTACTGGCGGCGGCTCTCAAAATGTTGCTATTATTTTTTAAAATTTTCAAAGTTAAATAACTCGGTTATTATCAATTTATTTTAAAAATGTTAAAGAGAAAATATGTTTCATTTGTCGAGATCTACCGTGTAGTGTTCACCCTGTATAGACTCGTTTTAAGTCCCGCCATGTCGTCTGCCAAAATCATCCCCTCTCTAATAGATAGACTTTACCTAATTACTGTATTATACCACATTATTAAACATAGAACCCTTCCTTCAAAGGCCCAGGATGTATTCGAATTCCTGTTCTATTGTCCTGTTGTTAATTTGCCAACAAAGGGTTTCATTATCTATAGTTAAGTCAAATATTTGTTTATGATTCAGACATATCTTTTAGATATCAAGCAATTGAATCAAATGGACTTATAATGTCATTTATAGAGAAATTAAAATAACTTTAGTTGCACGTCACAATGACACCAAGCGTCATTATATTTATGGAGTTTACTGTTTTTTTCATTGTGACGTGCATCTGAAGTTATTTTAATTTCTCTATAGTTATTAATTTCATTTTAATAATATTTATCCACATAGGTTAACTTTTTTAAATAAAGTATTATTACATACATAGACGAATGTTTGGGTATTTTGCCACTGGAAACAGGAATTTAGAGAAATAAAAAATAACTTTTTTATTTTATGTAAAATGCCACTTCGCTAAAATTGAAAAAAAAAGGTTGTCAGTGTCTTTTTACTCGGACAACATGTGTATGTATTTAATGGAGTTTAAAAGTAATCTAAATACAATCATTTTTACCATTCCTGCCGATGTTTGTGGTTCAGAATGACAATGAAACCCTTGTTGAATGTACTAACACTTTTCGACCGTGAATGGGCGAATATCTTAGTTCACAAAAGAGCAAACAAAAGCAATAAATAGAATAACTTATAGAATAACTTTTAATCTAAATATATTTGCACTCAACCTTCAATTTTAGCATAACTTTAGCTTCTAGTTTCGCAACCAGGGCATTAGTACCTACAGGTAGGGACCCGTTAAACTAACACATCCGTTTTAAATGTAATAAATGTGGCATGTTTTGGATGTATGAAACTACAAACCTTGGGGTAAAAACAGTGTTTTTATTATTATTATTTCTCTTTTATGAAAGTTAAGAACAGCATAGTTGGATTCTTTGGAATAGTGATCAAGGTTTTAATTTAAATAAGTAGGGCTATTTAGAAATTTAGCGTTTCATTTACATAACCTCTTCTCAAATTTCCCAAAATATTGCTTCTGTCGGGCGCATCCGAGGTAATCACAATCATTTTTTTTAACACAACGTAGGTTCCTTTAGTCCATTTAAATTGTTTATTATACAGTTGACCAAAATATTACCTCTTCAAATTTGTTGAACGAACTTGGGTTGTTATACTACAGCCTTTTTATTCAGAGTTTGAAACATAAAACTAAAACTACGAAAAAATAGGTAAGTTAGTATTAGTTTTCAACCTGAAATGACACAAACAGGATATGATTAATGTTTTTTAATCAGTGTTAATTTCATAAAATTCATTTCATTTTCCTCGCTCAAAGTTTCTCAAAGTTTCCTTACAGTTTTTCTTTTTTTTCTCGTTGAAATGAGATTAAGATAACTGTTTCCAAAGTAAGGCAATTAAAACCTCCTTTCCATTTCCTTATTTATTCTGCCACCAGATGGCACATCCAGATGCTCCGATTTGGGGAACTAATGAATTCGCTTGTCATAAAACGGCCGCCATCTAAACAAATATTGCCGTAAAATTCGATAATGGCCGACGTTTCGTTTAACTGGCATTAAACTGAGCGGTTGTTCCGAAAATTAGATCGCTAGGCAAACAAAGACTTTATCCAGTGGAAGTTGTAAAAGTGGGTCGGATGGACGAGTTTCCAAGAACGGGTAACTTTTTAGGAAGTTAGCAAGGGAATGGCTGTATAGGTGCGGCGGAATAAATTTTTCATATGCAAACAAGCGGCCGCGGCGTTTGGAAGTTTTTCCGAAATTAACTTTTGAAAGTCTGACTGGGTCAGTCCGTTTACATGTAACAATAATTCTAGGAAAAGCGAGTGTAATTTCTAATGCGATTTTTGTTTGTTGTTTCACGTTTATATAGCGAATGTATTTTGTGCTAAATACACGTGGGTAAGTGAAATGAAGTGTTGTTAAGAGTAAAGTTGCAGTTTCAGTTAAAGTGATAAAACGGCGCTCTAACCTTATTACATCGGTCTACTATCCTATCGGAGTCCCATTGTATAATGTTAGGTAACTTTACCTTATTACTGTATTATACCAGATTATTAAATATAGAATCCTTCCTTCAAACGCCCAGGATGTATTCGAATTCCCCTTCTATTGTCCTGTTGTTAATTTGCCAACAAAGGGTTTCATTATCTATAGTTAAGTCAAATATTTGTTTACGATTCTGATATATCTTTCAGCGATAAAGCAATTTAATCAAATGGGCTTACAATTTCGTTTAGTTATTAATATCATTTTAATAATATTTTGTAGTATCATATCCATCCACATCGATTACATTTTTTATGTAAAATAGTTATTTTATGTAAAATGTCACTTCGTTAAAATTGAAATAGTAGATTGTTGATTAACGTCTGAAGGGGGTATAGAAATAAAAAGAGTTAAAACAAAAAGAATTAAGAAAAAAACTATACAAAATGTCCAAAAAGTTCTATGGGTATTTCGCCATTGTAAGAAAATCTACAAAATAAAATAGTTATTATAATTAACAGTAGTATTGCTTGATGAGTAATACTGGCAACATCATCAATATATCGAGCATATTGGGAAAATTATTGATTGACCCGATGTCAATAAAAGTATGGTCCACGGATATTTTTAAAAAGCAATGTTCTCTTATAGTTTTAAAAGAAAACTGTGAAAGATACTTTTGTATACGATAATAACATGGTTTCACATAAATCCAATCAAAAATAAGAAATACTTCGAGGATTTTTTAAATAGTAACACCGTGGAATACAACCTATAAAAGGTGGACTGCCAGAACAGTTAGTCACTGTTGCCCTGCAGTTTTACGATTTTAAGTTTTGGAAATATATATTTCTATTATAGTGTAACTAATAATGTTTGACAATGATTAAAAATAATATTCTTGTGTAATCTTAGAGGAATAGCCAATTTAATTTACCATCCGTAACTGTTTTCGAAAAGCACTGTTTTTGATTTTTCATATCAGTTTAATATAGTGGTAGCAAGGGGTATTGAAGCGATACATATAGCCTAGCTTACCCAAAAGTCAACCTCACCTTCACGTGGTGCACCCTGTTTAAACAAACGAGGCTCTGACGACCGAGTATAGGCGGTATATCATTACACAACCCTCAGACCTACTATCTTTCTGGGGAAGAGGAGTAGTAAACTACTCCTAGTCGGCCGAGAACGTAGCACAAGGGAACTACCGTCGCAGTCCTCATTGTGCC